AAATATTTGTTTACCTTATTACTTGAGAACACTACAAAATTAAATCTCAATCTATCATGATTTTTTAAATATTCTAATTTTTAGATTTTAAAATTACTTGAGCGCAAGTAATGTTTAAATTTGGAGGTATTTGATGTTCATCAAATGCATGTTATTTCCATGTTATTCATATATTTAATTGTGTTACTTTTATATTTTATGTGAATATTTTAGTATTTTATACAGTATACAGATGATTAGGCAAATTGGAAAGCAAAGGAGTTGAAACAGAGTGCCTAGGGGCTGCCCGGGCACCAGTCATATGTCCCCTAGCTAGTATACGCGCCCTCTACAAGTCTTACACACCTGAGTGCCCGAAGAGGGAGCCCCAGGCACCCAGGAGTCAAACCTAGGTGCATAGGCACCTGAATATGCGAGAATACAATTTTTAAGGCTTATATTATGATTCTTCGCTTATAAAAGATTAAATTAGTAGGATTTGAAAGTTTCAAAGCACCTGACGTGTTATTTACTTGATCAGTCGTATAGAGAGAAGTATTTGGAAAGTCTGTGTGTGTTAGCATTTTAGAGCACTTAGTAAGTAATTTGTATCGTATTGTAAGTGTGGAGAACCAAATCAAAGTGAAGTTTCATTGTAAGAAGAAGATTCGAAGTGGAACAAAAGGAAAATAATTTTAAGTTTGATTGTTCTCATTTTTGTAAACTTTTTTTTGAATTTTGTTTTCTTCAAACATGTTTAGAAAAAAAAATTTTATACTCTTGCATTTTGGACATGTGATGAATCTCATTTTCTATATGAGATTTCTCTAGATTGAGTAAGATTTTGATAAATGTTGACATGTTAACTTTTTGAATTTAATTTACATCTAAATTGATCATTTAGATTTTTAAAATAAATTGTGATATAGTACAACGGGAGAAGACTAGAACAATTAGGTTAATATAAACTGCTTTACGAGAATAGGAATATTGTTGCTAGAGAAGTGCAACGGCGAAGTTAAACACAAAAATACGGAAATACGGGAGTTTTTGCAGGGTTGAGAAACTAACTGTAATATGAAACACCAATACATTTAAAAAACACATAAAATGGCTAGGAAATGCTATTGTTCCTAGTTGTTAACTATAATGTGGGAAACTCATCAGAAGAATGTTGAGGACTCATAAGAGTATGGTCTTTCATAAAATTTTAAAAAAACTCTAAAATCATAGTTAAGTAGATGCCTTAAAAACATTAAACTCTTCAAACTAAGTTTAGGGTTCAGTAGACTTGAAATTCACTGCTTAGAAAAATTATAAGTTCCTGTGAGAACGATACTGAAACTTTTATTTCGTATATTACTTGATCGACACGTAAACTTATGTGGTTGACATGTGTTTCACAATAAATTGGGTATCAAGGAGTTTGAGAGGTAAGTAAAAGAATGCCATTAAAGGTGACATGCCATGAGATAATGGTTTTGTTTGATGTTTGTTAGTAGCATTTATATTGAATATCCAATGAATATGTAAAGTGAAGTTGTTGGATGTAGTTTATTGGGTGTAAGAAGCTTTTGACATGGGAAACTGGAGCATCCAAACACTCTTAGGTGAGTATATGTAGATAGTGTTTGATGTAGGAGTTCATAAGGTGTCTTCATCAGTAGAGTTCGGCTAGGCAATCTATTGAATAGATAAAATGCAATGAGCAGTACATCTATCTAGAACAAGGCTGGTAGGTGAGATGTTAAAAGGAAGGTTATGGTTGTTTCTATGAGATGTCTATGCTTTCTTTCAGCCACCCTTTTTTTTTAAGGAATATAAGGCCAACTTAGTTGATGTATGAAGCCATGAGAGAAGAGGTAGTACGATAGAAAGTGATATGTGTATTTTCCACCAGCATTGATTTTAAAATTTTTTGGTTACAACAACAGCAAGCCTTTATCCCGCTAAGTGGGGTCAGCTACATGAATCCTTCTTCTCAATTGCGTCCTATTGAGATTCATATTTTTTTGTTAGCGTGGAATTAATTTTGAACCATTTTATAGACTTCTATAAACTTAGATGAAGTTACAGACTTAACAAATAGTAGAAATATCCAATAGTAACGTGAGTAATAATCAATGAAAACTAAATAATATTTATACCCTTGTAATGAGAAAATAGGTGCGGCTCCCTAAACATCAAAATGAACAATATTAAATAGTGTAGTAGGCCGAGAAGTACGCTTGGGAAAGGGTTGCTTGCGGATTTTGGATGAGTTGCATTCATCGTAGAAAATTGGAGAAGTAGTGATGTGGAGAGGCTTGTGTAGTTTGGAGATAGCAGCAACCATTGCATTATGAGGATATCAAGCCTTTTGTGCCATAACTAAGTTGATGATGTTGTTGTGCGAAGAGTTGAGAGGGGTGGGACAGGATAGTGGCCATCTCAACAAGGTCCCTCGAATATGGTGTGATTTTTCTTCTAATCAAGGATGACAAAACCGGATTTAGTGAAAGGGATTGTGCAATTGTTATATGCAGCTAACTTTGTGGACTAAGGAAATTATGAGATAATTGAGGAGAATTAAGGTAGAATGATCTTACGGTAAGGAGTAGGTTGCGCTCTTCGGCCATGGTGAGTTATTGGGAGAGTGGATCCATCGCTACAACAACTTGCTCATTACATTTGTTGAAAGATGGCTGCTGTATGTGATCATAGTTGGCAGTGAGGTCGGATGTAACACCCAATTCTAGGATTCATTGAGTTGATTTTGGATTTTGAGTGGCAATGAGTGTTGTATCAGCCTTCGTAAAGGGATATATATCAAAATTTATTCTATTACAGCATATAAGAGTTTTGTGTCCATATTTGCCACATATTTGAAAGGTTGTGATAGAATTGTTAGAGCGATCACCCCTGGTGTTGTTGGTTTAGTTCCAACTTTGCGAGAGGTGTAGGTATTTGATCTTCCACCACCTCTGGAAGAGTTTCGACCACCCTAGAGGTGGTATAAAGAGCCATAGTTGCAGCAGCTGTGGTATCCTTTATTTTTTCTGCAGTGATGTTCACTTCTTCACTACACGGTAGGACGTATAGATCATCCAACTTAATGGGTCAGACTTCATTCTGATGACGGTTTTGAATGATTGGAAGGAGGGAAGAAGACCATTGAGAATATATAAGATTATATCATCATTGTCAATGCTGCCACTAGCAGCAGCTATATACCGTCCAGCAATGTTTTATATCAAGTAAATATTGAGTCATGGATGATTATTTCTTGGAGAAAGATGTAATTTATTCTTTACCTGGGTAACGCTTGAGCGGTTTGTAAATCTCTTGTCCAGAGATTCTCAAATTTCAGCAATGGATTGGAGATCTAGGATATAGAGTAATATAGATGATGAAATTGTAGAGTACATTGCAGCATATAAAGATTGATCAATAAGCTTCCAGATTGGCGTTGGGGATTTCGAGATGGAATTCCATCATGCTCTTGAATTTGAGTAGGTGGAAGGGTTGATGATCATCAAGGAAGGCTTCAAAGACATTTGCTTTAAATAGTTCCTGAATTTAAGCTTTCCATATAGGAAAGTTCTCGGCAGTGAGTTTGGATGTTGACAATCGATCGGAGGTTGGACACTAGGAACTTGAGAGAGGGATGCATGGTAATCTCTGACATGGTGAAGATTTTGGGTCTGTAGTTATGCTGTTAGATGAGTCAAACATGGATGAATAAAAGGTGAGGATAATTTTAAGAAGAAGATGCAGTAGAAGAAGCTGGCTCAGATATGAAGGTAACCAATAACAGCAGATCAAAGGATAGATTGAATTGTATTGTAATTCCTTGTATATACTGTAGTGTACAAAGATTATGTATATATAGACTTTAGTATAGGTAGAGAAGAATCTAGAGTGTAGACAGCTAGAAGTAGCATAGCAGGTAATAATGATGAGAGAGTTGGCTATTGACAAAGGCTGACCCTGTTGTTCTGATTTTATTATTACAACAAGTGATCTAACCTTTTGATGATAATAAAAGCCATAAAAAATGACCATTTCCAACTCCGATAAATAACCACTCAAAAGTAAGATAGGAAACTTTTTTTTTTCTCACTTTTGTAATAGCTCTATAGAAATTTTTTTTCAGGTCTCCTTTAATCTCTTTTAACTTTAGTGCACTGTGTTCTCCCATGGAAACCTCCCTAGTAGCAACCTCGCTCTCTTTCATGGTTGTGTGCATGCAAGAAGTGATGGGAATCTAGTGAAGATTTCCTCCAAAATATTCTACTGGTATAGATTCATTTTCACAAGCTCCAGAGTTCGATGAAAACATGCAGTAAAGCAAGACATAGCTGATCAAAGATTTGAATATCAGAGGGATAAAACTAACAAGTATAGAAAAGAATGGATAAGATCTAACAGCGAAAAGGACAGTGAACAAGAAAATTAAGCAGGCAATGTAGCGGTATAGAAGAGTCAACGTAATGGACAGATAGCAAGATAGAAAAGAAGGAAAAGCGTATAGCATGGAAAAAGAAGAATAAAAATTGGACGGTGGAGAAAAAATGTTTGAATAACTACAAAACTGATCACCGCAGACCTTCGGATCATTGGTGGAGAGAAAGTATTTGAAGAACTAGAAAAATGATGGTCGGATGTTTTTAGATGCTAGGTGCTACGCCAAAACATTTACTCGAACAAAGCCACTCCAAGATGACAGCCATTGAGAAGCAATTAGAGTTTTTACTCTGTAACTTAAACAAAAGAAAACAACAATTCTCACATATAAGAGCTAAAGGATTAAAGATGAATTGTTCATTTTAACAGAGTGAGTATTCCAACTCGCAAGTAAGAGGAGCAGAAGAAAATATGGACATCTGATAGACGGACAGTTAATGATGCTAGAAATCAGATGAATCAACCATTAAATTTGAAAAAAAAAAAACTCAGCAACTTAATTTGATCCTTTAAATTTAATAATTCATAAGCATATTCAAAAACTACATGTGAAAAATACAAACAAGCTATCTTACCTGCAAAATCTGTGAGCTTATCGAATCTGAGAAGTGCAGTAACGAAAAAGAAAAGCATCTGATACCCTACCTGTGAAACACGATCATGTAAGCATTCGCAGATCAAGCAGGGGAAAACAAAAAGAAGCGGCGGAAAGGAGAAGTACTGTGACAATGGCTGTGAGCGCTAGAAAATGGGAGTCGAGAACGGTCCCCATTCTTCGCTGATGGAGCAAGGGTTGCAATCCCGCAGGCGCGTTCAAATTTTAAAGGCTCGAAGGATGGAATAGCAATTTCTCGTCTTTGGCATTACGGCAAACAGGTGGCGCGCAACTTCACACGGAGGCGTTGAACGGGACCGAATGCTATGACCAGCGAGTATGTGGACGGGGAAGATCCAAACGTTCTTAGTCTAGTTAACATATCTATATGATTGTTCATAAAAAAAAAGGGAAATTTACATCCATACCGCTTTAAACTCATTTATTTATATGTTTACCCTCTAAACTTTAACTTTTACATGACTAATTTATGTATGAAAATATATACTTTAATTTTATGAGATATTAAATATTTGGGTGGTATAAGCATAGCAAATAAAATTTGTGTTAGATATGTTAATACAAAGGAATTGGTCGGTATGTATGTAAATTCACTAAAAAAATTATTTAATTGAGAATAATTTTGGGTCAACATTTTTCATATAATTTAATTAGGAAAATAATTTAGGCCAAGAGCTCAAAATGAATGAATATATTTATCATATATTTTTTTGTTAACACAACATACAAAATTTGAAAACTCGATCAATTATTTTATTAAATGCATGTTGATAATATTTTACAAAATAACAAAAACATAAAATTGATCTTATAATGTTATAAAGTTTTTCACTAGTAGGGAATAAGATAATAAAAGCTTTCAATTATTATGGTGGGTGGCTAAGAATATGTGGATAATATTCCCGCGTTGCATTAGCTTCTTAGTATTAATAGTGTTTGGTTAATAGTGTTTGTTGCTCTATCATACATTGCATTAGCTTCTTCATTAATATTCTAAATATTAAGATCTTCGATTTTACTTTTAAAAATATATATTTTTTTTTTGTCTTTTTAGTATCTTAATCTAATTCTATGATAATATTTTATATATTTTTCATCGTCCTACCTTTCCTCTTAAAATCTAAACCAATAATCAATGTTGATAAATTAACTTTTTACTTTAAATGACCTTACAGTACTTGCAATCTAGATAACCTCTTTTTCTCGGGGAAAAACAATCAATCTATATTTTATTAGATCCATTCTTATAAGTGATAATATGTTATTTCTTTTTTTCAATAAAATATTTGCAACAGCAAAATCTTAAGATAAAGCAAAATCCAATATGACTTTAGCTTATTCATTAATCGCTCCAAAATCGTACATCAACACTTTAAATTTTTCTAGGATCTTCTACCACTACCAACATGTTCATTTAAATCTCCTATAATATTTTTTTTTCGAAAAGTACAATTTGTATTAATTCTTTTAGATTACTTTACTTTTTTTTTTATTAGAACATAGAAGCATAAACACTAATAACATTTAGAATCTTAGTATCAAGAACAATATTTAAGACTATAATTCTATTAATAAGTATATTGATTTTTATAGCATTGTCTTTCTAGCTATTATATATAATAACACTTATATCATTTCTAGTATTACTTGTACTTGAATTCCGAAGTTTAAAATCTAAACTATCAATCTCCTTAGTTGTTTCTGCAACTCATTTAGTTTATTGAATGCAAAAAATATTTATCTTTATATGAACCACAATATGAACTAATTTCATTTTTTTACCAATTAGAGTACATATATTCCAATATTTTATCACAATAATAGTTTCAAGTACTAGCGTCTTTGCACTCTCATCCATAATACAAAAATTCTTACTTATTTAACACTACACCGGACACCAATGCAGCAACCCATGCATATATTCATTGCATTAAGAACATACAATACGTCGCTTCAAAGAGCGCCATAGTATTTACACAATAATTTAAGGGATTCGTGCCTCTATTTTTAACAAAACATTAAGCAGACTATCGACTATCTTACACACCAACTACTTAAAATGTTTAAATAAACAAGTAGGCCATACAACATGATAAACTACACCATAGATTAATTCTCATAATCCTTTCTTAGATGATCAAAGAAAAATGTGTCAAACTAAATAGCATAAGATACAAATCCAATAATGTGAAACCAATTTTTGACTGGGAAGCACACATACATTTTTGTATCAAAAAAAATCAAGTATGAAATTCAAATTATTATATTGAGATTTTTTGGAAAGATAATTATTGAAATGGGGAATAACCCAAGTAAAATAATATTTTTGTAGAATTAATTTGATTGACTAATGTAAACCGAAATGTAAATACATAAAATAAAATTTAGGCATATAAATAATTCATTTTTAATAAAAACCATCATGTTTAAGTGATCAAAAACATATTTATCGTTTAAAAAATGCCAGATTCACCATAGGCCTCGGTTTATTATTTAATAATAAACTAAATAATAGAATTGCGATCCAAAAGCTCTCGTAGCTCAGTTGGTTAGAGCACCCGTTTAGTAAGCGGGAGGTCTTGAGTTCAAATCTCAACGAGAGCATTTTTATATTTATTTTAATTTTATGTGACATGTCTCATATTTTGTTTAGAAGACGGAAACTAGGGTGCTCTCATAATACTTTAATGCTCCTAAATTATAGTCATGTATTTTCATAATATGTGCGATTATTGGAAATTTTACATATATGCTTCGAATATTTTTTGCATTTATTTATTTAACATTTAAAGTTTAGTATTTATATTTATAATTTTTTATGTTTATGCATGATAGTATATTTTATTTTTAAATTGTTAGTGATAATGATTTTTGGTGTGATATATGTAATATGTGTTAGATCTATATATATATATATATATATATATATTGTTTGGAATGTATATAAATGCCCTAAATTATTTTATTTAAGTTTGTCTTTTTTTTTCTTGAAACTTTTCATGAAAAAAAAAAATTCAAACCCTTATGATTTGCTATTATCTTACCCTTGTGTGGGAGCAACTTTTAATAATACAAAGTTAATAAATTTTCTTTGCATAGCTTTAAATGTTGTAATATGCAACAAAAATATTGTCTTTTTGGATAAACTGCATTTTGGCAGCCGCTGAAATCAGTGTTTTTTCACTTGTCCTGATTAGGCGCATTGACAGTTTTCTAGCTACGATTTGACTTTTTTGAACATAAGCTATTGCAACATCAATTTTTTCTTCAACAGCGTTATAATTGCTTCATAATAAGTTGCAATTGCCCTAAACAGATCCTTAATTGATACTTGTCTATCACAATAATAAATAAGATAGAAAAATCTATAATTGCATGAAATTCATCTATTGTTAATGTAACGATTTCCATCATAAGGATTGGCTTCAATGCCAATAAATTGTATTATATCTATTTTAAAACTAAATTCAAAAACATTTAAAATATTCAAAATAAATTTATTTTATTTGAAATTGTTAGGACCTAAATCGGTTTTAATATGCCATTAAAATGTTTTCATGACAGTCAAATGCAAATTCAAGCCCTTAACGTGTGTCAAAAATTAAAATTCGAAGAATATTAATTTGTAATTTATTCGAATAAAAAAACTATATGTGCTCACATTTCTTGAACCTATATTTCAAGTGCCTTTTTTTTATTATTTCTTCTTCATTTATTACAATCTATCAGCCTGTGCAAAGATTATTTAAGCAATAGAATAGCCCAACAAGACTATTAACTAGTAGCATATATGTTAGCACAAATTGACAGTTTAAATCTCAATTTTATGAGATTTCACTCGTTTTGCGAAGACTTAGATCTAGAGTTTGAGATTTTTCATAGAATGTGCGAACGATTTAGATATCTCTGGTTTGTTATTTAAAGAGGTAGTGATATAGATAAGGATGTTAATAGTAGAATTCAAGTTAGTTGGTTGAAATGGAGGAATGCTTCGGGCCTTTTGTGTGATAAAAATTTACCGCTTAAACTAAAAGAAAAATTTTATAAGAGGGTGGTGAGACTTGCAATGCTCTATGGCTCTAAATTCTAAATGTTGGCCTTTAAAAGGCTCTAAATGTTGGCCTTTAAAAGAGAAGCATAATACTAAGTTAAGTGTTGCCGAGATGAGAATGATTAGATACTTTACACTTTTTATGCTTAGAGACAAAATGTGAAATGAATATATCCGTGATAGGGTTGGTGTAACTCAAGTGACCAACAAAATTAGAGAGAGTCGTCATAGATGGTTTGGTCACATTTAACGTGACCATCTGAGGATCCAATTTGGAGAGCAGATGTTTTAGATTCGACTTATGTTAAGAAAGGAAGAGGTAGACCTATGAAGACTTGGGCTTATTGTATAAAGGGCTTATTATTGTATAAAAAATGATCTTAATTTATTAGAACTGAATGAAAATATGACACTAAGTAGGACTCAATGGAGAAAAATGATTCATGAAGCCGACTCAACGCAGTGCGATTAAGGCTTTGTTGTTGTTGCAAGCGTTGATGATTAATTAACATTCTTGATAATTATAAAACTGAAAGATAAAATCAAGATTTGAAATTTTAGCAATCAGCTTAGCAAAATTCCAAATCAATATTTAGGGGAACAATTCTTCATGCACTATTTTATTATTTGAAATGACACATGCACTTGCATATACCTCAAAATTGTGGTTAACAATGTCTTTGATGAGCGAAGTGATTTGAACTTAGTTTGCATAATATTATATCAATTGGTCATTATACCACCCTATCTTAGGCATATCAAATGCTCTAAACAGCTAATTTTAATGAATGTTAGCTTATTTTGGGAGACTTCAATCGTATTCGTTCGGCAAATAAAAAATCTAGTGGCATGTTCTCTCCCTCTTGCTAGCTAAAGGGCTTCCAACTCTTGTGGATTTGATTTTAAGCTTTTGGATACTCCCAACATAGCTCAATCTCTTAGTTGGTTTACTAAACTTTGTAACCCTACAGTATGTTTGTTACGTCAAGGTCATTAGTGTGTAGTGAATTCAACATTTATTTGGGATAACTACATGTAGATCGCCCGAAACATTGATATCTACAATTAACCACCCAGTTGATTTTTTTGAACAATTGAACTAATGTATTTAGGCATGCTACAACCAAACTATTGAGAATTTGATAATAATGAAGAAAATATGGGTTAGGGTTTTGCCAAGAATTTCAATATTTGAGTTTTATTTTGAAAAATAGATGAAAAAGATTGATTGATTTGTAAATAGCAAGTTTCAGCAGGTCTGTATGTAATTATAGTTGCAGTGTGGGTAGAAGAACCTTTAATCCTAGACAAACATCACTAAATACAAATCTTAAATAATTAAACGCATTTTTTAAAAATTATTCCCGTATAATTATAGCAATAGCACATGACAAAAGCCCTCATCATTATCAAGAACAATAGCAACTAGCAAATAATTTAATAAAAACTCTTAATTTAATCACAATGTTCCACCAACTCACCAACCAAAAGCAAATTTCACCCTCCAAGCAGCTTTTTGGTAAATGAAATAGATGGCAATTTATGACTAATCAACCATAATCTCTCTCACTTTTCCTTAAAAAAAAATTTGAGTGCAAAATAATTAATATTATACATATTATTCATAAGATCTTACCAACTAAATCAACCAAGATAGCCATTGCCAATTTCAGATTAAAATATTGTGCATTTTTCACATATATTAGCTATAAAATTATATATATATATATATATATATATATATGCCAAGAGCATTTTACAGCAAAACAGTGACAATATTCTGAAAAAAGAAACACAATAAAAAAATATTAAAAAAAAAACTTTAATGATAAATGAACTAAAGAAACTCCACCCAACCAACATATTCCTGTAACTTTCAAGAGGAAACATGGCTTCATGGCCAGCTTTGCAAGCCATGATTGCCTCCACAGCCACATCATTCAAGTGACCCACTTGCCACCCTTCACGGCCTGATCATCCACCACACATTCCTCCATGAACGTTGGTGATGGGACCAAGCTTCCATTAAACAAAACAAGAAAAGCAAAGCATGGAGCTGCGCAAGGAGCCTCCTTTCCTTCACGTTGCTGTGTCTGCTTCCTCTTCTCCTTTTTCCTCACCAAAAAAAAAAAAAAAAAAAAAAAAAAAAAAAAAAAACAGCTTTAAACTTTACAAAAACACAAGCTGAGCAACAGCTTATGCTTAACTCAAACTACTAAACAGTACAAGGAATCCAAATCAGATATCAATATGCCTTGAACAAAGCTCCACAGTTCTTAAATCACGAAGATGATGAAGAATTTCTTGAAGGAGATCTGTCCCTCTTTCTCCTTTCTTTAAGGAAGACAAACAATGCTTTAGAAATTCGCGGTCTGCTTCAAGAGCCTGCAGTCTCTCATAAACATGATCAACCTCCTCAGCTATAGCCAGCTGCTTGTGGTTGATACAAAGCTTATCTTCATTTTCAAAGCCAATGGCATCAAAGAGGGGGTTCAGCCTCTTCCCTCCGATCCACGCACTCTTTTGATCGATATCAAAAATTCCATTCATATCAAATGAATCTAAAGAACCATTCACAGAACCAAATTCATAGACTCCATTGATGATCCCATGGCCATTTTCAATCTGTAATTGCTTCATATGTTTTGAATTGAAAGAATCATGCTCATCATCCATTGTGAAAAGCTTCTCCTCCAAAGCCTTTAGCTGCTCAAGGATGGCAAGCCTCTCCTCCTCAAATTCAGCCAAGGACTCATCCAGAGTAATGAGATTCTTGGCATCATCATCATCTTCCATGGAATTCTGGTTACCTTTCTGAGACTCAACTGAGATTTCATCGCTCTCTTCAGCGCTGGAAGAAGTTCCACTCCTGCTTCCCTTAGCCATTTTCCTACGCTCAATTGCCGCGTAAACACGAACCTTATGCTGACAGACCTCGAGTTCCTTCTTCAGCTCCTGCTTCTCCTTCTCCCTTTTCATCATTAGCTCATTGAGGAGCTGCAATGCCTCCTGATCATACTCCGCTTGCTCCTCCATCATCCTCTGATATTGTAGTGCTTCCATCTGCATAGCGGCCTTCTCCTCTTGGAGCCTGGTTATCATTGCCATGGTTTGGTTGGTAGCTATAGCAGAAGCACTCCTTTCTTCTTCTAGTTCAGCATATAACGCAATGAGAGCTTTTCGTTCCGATTTTAAAGCTGTTTTGAGACGATCTATGGTCGCTGGCTCAAGATTGTCTGTGTCACTGGCAATGCTTCCATCTAGAGACTCGGTTCCAGATTCTCTCCTTTCTAGCAGAAACCTCTTGTGCAGAAAATGAAAATTGTTGTCTAAGTAATTAGGAGTTGTAGGTGTTTCAGGCATTATTCTCTCCTCCTCAATTTCATTAAGAACTGGACAGATTTTTAGGTGTCTTGTTCGCTGAGAAGTTTGTTCTGATGGCTCAGTTTCAGTTACTGATGAAAATTCAAATAGAAATTTGGCATCAGGATCTGAAAGAAATAAAAATTCAGAATTGGGCTTCATGAGGGATAAGAAAGTGGGTACCTGATTCGTTAGGGGTTGTTTCATTCAATACATTCAGATTTTGATGATCAATTGCGGCAGTTAGAGAGACAATTTTAGAAAATTGGGTGGGCTCGATCTGTTCCTGATCACAAATCTCACTTCCTATGGATATTTCGCAGTTAGCTTCATCATTTCCTTTTCCATCTTCAGAAACTGAAATTAGAATCATAAAAAACATATTTTTGAGAAAACTAATAATTTTGTAAGAAATTCCAGAGACAGAGAAACAAAAACAACAAATTCTTGCCTTGTTGAACTTTGAATTCTAGCACCTCGGCAGTTTTGGCATGCGTTGAGAAATCATCGCAGGGCTCCTCGGTCGGAACAAGAACGTACGAATGCTGTTCAATTTCCTGCTTTTCAGAAGCTGGAACCGGCATTGTGGAGGAATCGATCAATTCAACAGGATGAATCCGATCCAAAACAACCATCTTGTCCGCACCAGGGGAGATGATATCCACTAATGCATCCTCCACTACAACAGGAGGAGAAGGAAGAAAGGCCTCACCTTTTCCTTCTTCTTCTTCCGCCTCTTTATCTTTCAGTTCTTTACCCTGCACCATCTTCTTCAATCCGAAGCCCTCTCCTTTCTCCGATTTTTCTGTCGGAGCGAACTCCAAAACATCCCAAGAATCGGCCATGAAAAGCAAATAGGGAGAATAGAAGCCGCTCTCCAAAGCCACGCCACAGCAAGAACATCGCAGATCCTTCTCTCCCTGCTCGCTTCTTTTCATCCATGAAAGCAAAGCAACGCCCCGATCCGTCTCGCCGGGCTTGGAGGCAGCGCAGTCCTCGCACATATCTCCGGCATCCGCCAGCCGGCGATGGTTGGAGCAAAACCCAAGCTTTGATACTTCTCCGGCATGAGACTCGCAGAGCAAATCGCTGCAGGAGCTCGGAGACCTTCCCGGCTCGAAAATATGATCGATCCTCGAGCAAAAGATGCAAGGGGGCTTCAAACCGAAGAAAGACGCAAACTTTGAGATCATGTAGGAGAGGACAGCATTGAGGAGAATGAGAATGATTAAGATCCATTCCAGAACTATGTATATTAGAAGGAAGATGAGCCAGTGGGTGTTCCTATGAAGAATTGTTGCAAATTTGTTGGCCGCCATGTCTCTCGTTCTCTTTCCCATAATGAAGCTATTTACAATGTTTTGAAGAAGAGGGTTGGAGGAGGGGGGGACGAGTAGGTTAGAAAATATGAAATTAGGGAGTTTTAATGGAGATAGGATTCAGGAGGGGTTGGAAGAAGAGGAGTCTGCCAAAGGAGACCGGAGAAATGTTCTACAGTCAGAAAAGAACAAATATTTATGAGGAATGAACAATTACATACATATATATAATAAAAAATTATATTAAATAATTTTAAAAATATTAAAATTAAAATAAAGTAGATTTAATATTAAGTATTTTCTTATCACAATCATTTTAAAATAAAATATATTTTTTTCTAATTTGCGATCAAAATTGTAATGAGAGTGTACTGACTTTTTTTCTTTCATTATTTTTTTGTTTTTTGTTACTACAGCTGAAATTTCGGGCAGCTTTCGGCTTTTGGAAAAGGGCTCTGCAGTTCCGGATTCGGGGCAGAATGGAGGTTGAATTTTTAAGCTTTATAATATTGTTATTAATAATGGTTTTTATAAACATAAATTAATTAAAAGCAAGAATAAAAATAACATTTTAATTTTTTATTATTAAATATTTATTATACATTGAGCTTTTTTTATTTTATAATTATGTGAAATATATTTTTAAATGTGGTTGTAATTTCATTATTTGAAAGAGTTTGTAATGATGATCTTTTGAAATTATCAAAAAATTCATAGTGCCATTTTTCTATGAATAAATATTAAAATTTAATTACTTGAAGTATTTTGTTATAAGATTTAGGTTATGCCTTTGAGACCGTTGTTGAAAAATAAATTTTCAATTGTTTTTTTAATATATGTGAAAAAATAATCATGTTTTATTAACAAAACATTTAATGGGTCATTTGAAAATATTTTTGTTATTATTATTATTATTATTATTTTGTTTGTATTTTGATTTTGAACTAATAGATAATTGATTTTAGTATTTCTTTTTGAAAATAAAAATAAAATGGGCATTTACAAACATACAAGCAAGTGCTTATGTATATATATATATATCTGATACGTGCTAGAAAATTCGCAACGGTAGAGTAATGAATTATCGTCTGAGCGTTACATGAAGATTCAACACACACTCAGATGAAAGAGAATCAACCTGGATGACACCAAAAGTTTTTACGTGGAAAACCCGTAAATAAAAAAACCCACGGGGTCTGACTCAGTTAAAAAAATATACTATAAGTTGATGATTACAGATGTCACTTGTCCCACAGACAGGTTAAAGTTATTAGATTTTTCAAGTTGCAATGTCGATTGACGACGTCTGGTTAGCGGTGATCGACGACAGTTGATGATAGTCGACGGTGGTTGACGGTAATTGATGGAGGTCAACGGTGTTCGTTGATCGTTGGTGCTAGTCGGCGGTGATTAACAGTGGTCGACGACAGTCGATGACGGTCAGCGGTGGTCAACGGAGGTAAACGGTGATCGGTGGTGGTTGACGGCGGTCTGCGATGACAGTGATGATGTTTGACTTAAACTTCTTCTCAAAGTCTTAAGTTCTCTCTCAAGCCTCTTCTCTTATGTGAGGGGTGAGACTCTATTTATAGTGTTATTGGTGCAATTAATGTTGGAATATGAAATATTTTGATCTGACAATCCTGAGAGATTTCCTCGATCAGATGATGTTTGAGTGCCTTAACAGTGTCAGAATTGAACAATTTTGGGATTGTTGGATTTGTCTTATCGAGACGTTCGATTCAACTATGAACTTCCTAGATCTGACATAAGTTTGACCATCCAAATGCCACTGAAAATCCTCCAAGAGTGGTTTAATGATTTGATCTGGACTTGATTTGACTAAAATTGTATTAGTTTTTATATCATTGGGTCTGTCTCACCGAGCCGGTCAGTTTGACTATAAGTTTACTGAAATCGGAGCTCTGGATGACTCTTAATTGAAGTTTGAATGTTTATTGCACAAAAATTTACCTCGAGAATCATGTCATGCCTCGAGATTCGTGATGGGTGATGAAAATTTGTTGGTGGAGTATCCATATCCAACTCCAAAACTTTTATTTTTACATTTATGCCACCAAAATGTTGCACATCAAATAAAAAATAGCACCAATTTCATTTTTAAAATGTGAAATACAGCTTTGCATGCATAAGTGATATGTAGGTAAAAATTAAATTTTAGGTGCAGGACATGTAATTACATAGGAATTGAGTGCTGCGCATCTAAATCTTCCTTCTAAAATTACAACAAAACAATTTTTTTAATGATAAATGAAAAAGAAAAATAAGAATAGAGGATAAAGTGATGCCAATTGGCGCTAAAATGACAATATAAAATTTAAGTATTTTAAAATATAATATTGCAGGCTCTAATTTTTATTGTAATTTCTAAGATTTACATGATGTTGACCTCAATAAAGGTCATTAGTAAATCTACTGGCATGCGATGGAATTCTGGGCAGCCGCAATGAGAGATTTGTAAATTATCTAATTTGACTAATTTCTAAGTCTTAGAAAAAAATAAAATAAAATAAGTTGTATGATTATATATAAATATTTTATTAAAATCTTTTAATTGTTGTAGATTCCAAATTAGTCATGTTAGTGCCCAAGTGATAGAGTTTGGCGGCCAAGGGAAAGATAAAAGAGAGAAATTAGGAGTGTTTAATTGATTAGAAAATAGAAGTTATAGAAGAGGAAGGGGGAGAGAGCTCTCCCTGCACGAAGGTTTGAGAGAGAGGAGTGCCCAATGACCCCCTAATACATGACATCGGTTTCCAATTGATAGCTTATCAAAGAAAAAAAATATAATATTTTATTTCTACCATTGCTTTAAGGAGCTTTGTACGAGTTATTTTGGTCATTTCCTTCCTCGGATCTATCGTTTTGGAGCTTTTCGGTCGACTGGGTTCGTCGGCGTCGAGAGGCCGGCCAGTTTGATGTTGGTCGACAGCCCGAGGAGGCTGGCCCAACAGAGCTGGGGTGGTTGGCGGACACGAGCTGGGTGGCCGATTGGCTGTAGGTGACCAGCCCAAGTGGATGATCGAATGGAAGAAAGTCCAGGACCAATTGGGAGAGATGGTTGTAGATGCGACGCCAATGGCAGTTCATTCTGCCTGACTAGGACCCCAATAGTTTCCTGTCTTACAATCATCATAAATACTTCATCAAAAGGATCTAGAATTAAATCATTGTATTCCCATTCATGGCTGTAAATTTTATTTTCTTTTCTTTTCGGTATTTTTCTTGGCAGCACGATCGATGAATGACAGTGATTTGCGAGAAATGAGGAATTAAAAAGGCAACATTACTGAGAAATTTACATATATACCTCATAATTCCTATGTATTTACATAGTTAACTCCTAAAATTTAATGTTTGCATCTATAACAAAGTTCATAAAATTACTCATAAAAAGGTGTATTTTGTTTTTAAAAAAAGACTAATAATGGTAATATTTTAATTATGATATTAAATATTTGAAAAATATGTATATAGATATGAAATTTTATATACTGAATATATAAATAAATAAGAATTATGTGATATTTACATAAATACATCATGAATAAAGCGAGCGAGGCTATCCACACCAAATATTTTATTACCTTTCTGAGCTAATTTAAATTTTGAAAAGGAGAAATGTCAAAATAATCCTGATTATTTACATGGATAGTTTTAGTCCAAGAAAGCATAGACATGCTAAAATAGTCCTTGTCTGTTTTAAAATTGAACTCTAATGCGTATTTTAGCTCAAACTTAATGAGTTTGATGACTATTTTGACACTTCTATAAATTCTAAAACAAAAAAATTCCCTAATAACGAACTATTTTGAATCTTATTTAAAAAAATTATCTAATTTATTGCGTCAAGAGCCCCTCGGAAAAATTAAAATTACACAATAAACAACCATTTCTCCACTTGTAACGGTTGACATCTTCAATATTATAATGTGAAAACCTGTTCATCAGCTAATTCTAAAGTTCTTCCAATAAATATAATGTCTGCTGTTTTAAGTGAGAATCAGGAAAATGTGCCCAATGGCACGCACCCATCTCTTCTCTTACTTTCATAAACAACATATCAAAATAAATAGCTTATTATTTTTTTTATGAGAATAATAAAAAATTAATATATAATGCATTATCTCTAAAAATACTATCCAAAATTGCTAATTATTCAGTTTAATTAACGCTGTAAATTCGCTTAATGATTTAAAAAATATTATTATTATTATTATTATTTAGAATTGAGCCCGCATAAATGGAACTAGTCAGTTATAAGAAGCCGCGCCGGAGTAGTAGTCAGTGTGGGATCATCATGTGATTCCGCTTGGACGGCAAGGGCTAATATGCGGGCCCACTTAAAATTCACATTTATTTTTTAAAAAATGGCATTTACATACATACCACAAAAAACTACATGTATTTACCTAAAATCTAAACATTCATATAGCTTGGGCGAGCTCAGGCTTGGCTCGTGTTCGGCTTGTTCGAAATAGCTAGTGTTCGAAATTGGCTCGTATTCGAAATTGTTTTTTGAACAGTGTGTTCGTGTTCGGCTAGAAATTGACTCGAAAAAATTAAATTGAAAAAAATAGAAGTAAAATGTGGGATTCGAGCTTGGGCGAAATGTATACAAAAGAAGACATTAACCAAATTACCACACGAGATATTATGATTTAAACTTAGATATAAATATATATAATATATAATTATATAAATAATATATGTAATATGTTATTATATAAATAAGTATATATATATATATTTTTAATTTCGAGCTAAAATGAGCCGAACACGAGCGAACAAATAGTTGTTCGTGTTCAACTCGTTTATAAACTCGTTTATAATTCGAGCTTAATTCGAGCTTTAAATATTTGTTCGTGTTCGGCTCGTTTACTTAACGAACAAGCCGAACATGAGTTGTTCACGATCAACGAGCTTTTTTTGACAGCCCTACATTCAAATTTACGCGTGTGGCACTCAAATCTTCTAACATTATATTAAAAT